AGGCATTACTGAATACTCTGAGATTAAGCAACTACTAGTCCCTTGGAGAGATTCTTGGGAATGATAACTAAATTTTTAAAAAAAGAACATAGTCCTCCCAAAAATGAAAGAAATCTGACCTGGCAAAAGAGGCACAAAAACTGAAACTGTTCAGCCCATAGAAAAGTTTCCTGAAGACAGGAAGGTGAGTACTTACAATCACCAGTTTGGATGATTAAGAGGGAAGCTGTCAGACTACTTTCTGCATTAAGTCAATAAAGGCAGGCCAAGAACCAATGAACTAAGAGCAGAAGAGAGGAAACACACTGTCTTGTGGAGCACCTGCCCCACTTTTCCCTTCTCACATCACGATTGTTATTGTGACACCTGCAAAATTTTAGGAAGGCATGGCTATATTCCATCTATATTCCATTTCTAAGAAATCATGAGTGGAAAACAGGTGTGTAAGTTTCTTGGGATGACATATTTTATGGATAGTTTTTAAACTTTTATCTTCAGTGCTTTTAGTGGATTACACGAAAAAGTTATTGTTGCTGATTTTACTGTTTTCTTCAAAGATCTGTAGATGGAAACTCAAAATTCCACAGGTGTTATGTTGAGGGATTTCTGTTTCCCCTAAGGTAGATACTTTTATTCTGCCACCCTCTTCCATCTCAGTGAATTGTATTATTTGCATATTAGTTGTGCATATGAAATTTGCTTACTTGAAGCCAGGGAAAACATATTTTCCTAAGTTTCACAGCAAGAATTTACACATTCACCTCTGTTCCTTCTGTTTGCCTACACTGGATGTATTTGATGAAGTACAGTGGTGTATATGGCAAATGCCAGGCTGTAATGAACAGAAAGAAAATAATCAAGTATGTAGAGGAAGAAGAAAAGACATTTTGGAAGAGGTTTGGTCTAAACCTCTTTTCACTTACAGCAATGAAATTCCTATCAACTTATTTGTGGATCAGGAGCATATAGCAACCGAACAAGTTAACACAAACACATTTGGGAGAAAAATATTTTTATAGGTAACTGGCGAGTGAAGTATAAGCAATATCACTGTTATACTGTGTGAGCAATCATTAATTGCTCCATTTTGAAATAAACTCTTGATTTCTCATTTTATGTACTTAATATATCTCCTCTGTGATGCCTATCACTGAGTACTCTTTTCTCTTTTCACAAACAAGAATTTTCATTGTTTTATTTAGGCACTCGGAGATTTCACACTTATCACCCTGAACCAGACCTGAAAGTTCCTCAGAAGAAAATCATTTAAACATGTACATGGCACACAAAATATATAGTAGAATTACTCCCTTGATCAACATTCAGTATGAATTCAAGTACTCTGTCAGATCAGACCTTTTCTGAATTCATACATTATTCAAAAAGTTTTAAGGGTATCTCTTGAGTTACCTAGCTGGGGTAGTTTGCCATGAAGTTTCAGAAGTTTACTTACTGAAGAGTTTTAGAAGTTTACTTACAAGAGAAGAAAGACAGTAGAAGACCCAGCTCACAGGAGCTGTGAGCATCTATGCTTGACCTCATTGAAAATTCAGGAACAGTAGATGTGACAACAGGATTATTAAGACAGGTTGGAAAACAGCATGAAAACATGTCATCCCATTATCTAAGTTGGCCATGCTACAGTGAGGTTAAGAGATGGAAACTGGTGATTAGAGTCTGATTTCGCCAAAAGAGCAAGAATTACCAAACTGTGTTCAAACATGGGCTTTTATGAGTATACCTATAAAAATGTCTACAAAAGAGAACGCACATTCTATGCTTATTTTCAACCAACCACAAAAAACAACAACAACAACAACCAAACAAAAAACAACCAACCAACCAAAAAACAAACACCAAAAAACCCCAAGGAAAACCCCCCAAAGAAACAGGGACCAGAAGTCAGTCAGGTTCAGTGGAACTGATGATACCACACAACACTCTCACCTGATTCCTATCTTCATTCATTCATGCATTAGACAGTGGGCTACAGGGCAAGCAATGGCAGTTTTCAGCTATGACTCAGGATAGTAGGAGCTATCTTGACCAGGTTACTTTGCTGCCTTGTGTATCAGTTTCACTTCCAAAAACTGAGGGCAGGCAGTAACACTTGCTTGGAAGATCAGGAAGGAAAGGTAGGGAAGACAACAAACAGTGACACAACTAAATAAATTCATGAGATTTACTCCTTTCGGATACATTATGGAAGGTATGATTGTGTTCATAGACAGGGAACTGAACCTGCTGCTCCTGCAAATCCCTATTTGATCCCAGGTTTCTATCTACCTGTAAAGATTATAAAGGAAACCTTTTCATCTCCTAAGGTCATTGCTTGCAAAATTTATTTGGCAGCAAAGTTACATCTTTTAGCTAGCAATTAGACATCCATGGCTAAACTAAAGAGCAAAGGTTGCTGGCTTAATCCCTACTCTCCAGCTTTGCAACCTGCAGTGAATAAATGACGTAAGAACTGCACAAGCTTATGTTTATTTATAATACTACATACCCAGCAACTCTAACCTGGAGCACTCCAGAGTGGAAGGATACATTTTTATAATGCCCGTTTCTTCATTAAGATTTCATCATCCACCTACGCTAAAAAGCTACTTCCCCTTCACTTTGTTATATCTGCTTTTACCCACTCCTGTTCTTGCATTATTTTTTTAATCTCCCATTCCTACTTTACATGCACTCTCAAATTTTAAACAAGCAAAATTTGTGCATTAGTGTGTCCTTTTCATCTATCATTTATGAATGACAGGTTCTTTGGTGCAGCTTAATGGTATGAGAGAGACATTATTTTAAACATTAAAGTGAAAACCATTTACAACTATGATAAGAGAGGTCTGTTGACATTAAACTTTAAAACATGCACAAGGTAAAGGCAAGTAGTTGCTCCCAACAGGTGAGAGTACTATGCATGTGCTTTGTAAGGGAGTTTGTTCAACACAAGAGCTGTCTCTTTGTTTTCTCTGTTTGTCAACCTGTAGGATCTGGTGCTTCAAATAATGCATCTGGTAATCAGCAGCCACCAGAGTTTAATGACTAAAAGGTATTTAGGGCACAGTGCAGAGGATTACTTTTCTAAAATTTCCATTTTGTTTGAGGAAAATATTTTGTACCATTTACATTGGAAAGAAATAACAATAAATAAATAAATAAATAAATCTAACAAGTTACAGCTTTCTTTTTATACTTTTTGCTCACACCTTCATCACTTTCACACCGGACTATCACTTCCTTTACTGTCCTCGTCCATCAAAACTATACAATTCTGTTGTAAGATATTGGCTAACACTTAATCTTGCTATATTTTGTTCCATTCTATTCAGAAGCAACTGCATTCTGAGAAGTATCAACATAGTTAGGAATAGTAAATAAATACATCTGTATTTTATATCATATGTACTTGGACTGAGTACCATTCCTAACAGTGTCAGACACACTGATTGAACAGGGGAAAAAAGGGATCTTATAGAACTGCTTTCAGTCTGATTTTAGACCACAGGGAAAATGTAACAGATCCCTCAGGGTAGAACCATTGCAAGCATGGTACAGCTCAGACAATAGAGAGGATACATACAGAGATTAACTTTTTCCTAGTTACTTTGGAGTCATGCAACTCTCTCAACAACTTGAAAGAGGATGGCAGAACCTTATTGATAAAGCAGAACTCCCACAGAAAGAACAAAAACATATATCTAGGGCATGGATGACAGATGAGAAAACTCTGATTTTATTGTAAATTTTATAAAAAGTTATTTTCATGCAATACTGTATTTTTAGTTGCCTCTAATCATACAGCTGCTTTAATCAAAAGTGGTGAAACAAGTTGTGTGTTGCAGTCAACTTGCTTGGAGGGAAGGAATAATGGCATTAAGAGGGACCTTGACAGGTTTGAGATGTAGGCTAAAGCAAACCTTATGAAGTTCAACAAAGCAAAGTGCAAGGTCCTACACCTGGGTCACTGCAACCCCAGACACACCAATGGGTTGGGCAGAGAAGTGATTGAGAGCAACCCTGGTAAGAAAGACTTGGGAGTTACAGGTGATGAAAAACTCAACATGAGCCAGCTGTGTGTCCTCCCAGCTCAGAAAGCCAATCAAGTGCTGGGCTGCATCACAAGGAGCGTAGCCAGGAGGTCAAAGGAGGTTATTCTGCCCCCTCTGTTCACATGTCATCCCACCTGGAGTATGCACAGTTGTGGTGACCCCAAGATAAGAAACATGTGAAACTGTTGGAGCAAGTCCAGGGGAGGACTATGAAGTTTTTAAGAGGACTGGAGCACCTCCCTTATGAACACAGGCTGAGAAAGTAGGGGCTGTTCAGCCTGGAGAAGATCACATGGAGACCCTATGGCAAATTTCCAGTATCTGAAGGGGTTCTACAAGAAAGCTGGAGAGGGACTGCTCACCAGGATCTGTAGTGGAAGGACAAGGAATAATAGGTACAAATTGAAAAAGGGAAGATTTAGATTAGATATTAGGAAAAAAATTTTCGCTGGGAGGGTGATAAGACAGTGGAACAGGTTGCCAAAGGAGGTTGGGGATGTCCCAACTGTGACAAGTTGGGTAAGACATTGAGCAACCTGGTCTAGGGGGAGGTGTCTCTGCTCATGGCAGGTGGGGTTGGGATTAGATGATCTTAAAGTACATTCCAAACCCTTGATATTCTATGACTCTGTTATTCTATAGTTTGAAATCTCCAAGTGATCTGTGAGTAGAGAACATTGATCATTGATGACAGGAAAACCTAATGAGTCATTCAAGTGGTTTGCATTACTGACTCACAAAATGTAAGACCCAAATTCCAATATGTTTCTATAAAAAGGCAAATAGCCCTTAAGTGTCTCTCAAGCATTCAAAAACAATCCAGGTATTACTTTTCAATATTCATGGAGAGCAATATTTAATTTGAAAAAGATATCACTCAGTTTAAAGTAAGAGAGGGCACAAAACATGGTGAAAGAACCTGTTAGAAAAATTATGAACATGACTTACCTTGTAGATTTTGCAATGGCAAAGTCATGATGCCTCCTGCTGCAGCTGCTGCTACCAGTCCTTGGATGTTGGTGAGATTTGCTGTAGGTAGAGTTAGGACGAGTCCTTGTTGGCCCCCCAGCTGCCCGGCCATGTTGAAAGGAATAAGGATTGGCTGATTCAGGGCTGGAGTGCCTCCTGGCATCACCCCTGCTACAGCTGAGGCTAACTGTTGGGCTGTCAGTAGTGGCTGCAAGAAACCACAGATACAAACCTATTTTAGTGTGTATGACTCAGTATTACACACTTGCAACCTTCTTGCTTGAGATCCTTTCGTGTTCCATTACAGACATGCACTGCTTCCAGTATCTAAAAGCATACATTTTCACCAACACAGAAAAGTTTGACAACTGTGACAGTCTGAAACTGTAAGCCTCAGTCAAATAGCATAGTAGCAAGCCCAGCTGAAACTAGACTGGAAAATTCATTACACATACACCAAAAGTAATTTATGAGTGAAAGAAGACATAACTTAGTCTACAAGTACCTAAACGCCAACATTTCCCAAAAAATTCCTGGTTGTATACTGATTGATAATAGCAGAAAACACTAGTGACAACTACCAGAAGCTTTGTGGACCAAGACTGAACTGGGAAGTGGAATATTGAGTATCTTCTTAGAGTATAGCTGAATTTGGATAAAATCATGACGTGGGATAGGAAATATTTTAAAGTCTTATAAAATGCAATACTACTTTGTCTACACTTTACTCTAAAGAAAATAAATACCTGGCATAAAAGATAATGAAATACCTTGGCTGATACAGGAGTTCTGTGTGACAGACAACTGTCAGAGACAATAATTCTGCATTAAAATTGCACAAGATTTTCAATATTAAATTATTATATTAATTTCAGAAGTAATTTACATAAGAAATTAAAATATTTTAACTTCCTAAATATGTAAAACTTAGGTTTTATTTTAGAAAAGCAAACAAAATCTAATCCTGCCAAACTTGACTTTTAAAATATACCTGATACATATTCTTTTTTACCACTGAACGCAGTCAAAGAGATTCATATTTTCTACATTATACACAGCAATGATCAGTCACAGTTACTTATTGTTCATCAAATTGCACATCTCAATTAGTTAAAAGGAAAGATACTGACCTGAGGCCCAACAGGGAATGCAGGATGGGACTGACTGGGTTGGTGCTGGTCTGCTGGGCTTGTATCAGGCAACACTGTGTTTCCTCTGGCCTCTGAAATTCAGAGAACAGATTGACTTTAATATCAAGCCTGGGGACTGCCACATTACCTTCTACTCTGATGTCACATAACATGAAGCTGAAAATGATATGTTAAAGTGCTTTATCAATAACTCAAGCACTCAAATTGCTTATCAGCTGCATAAATTATGCTAACGTTCATTCAGACCAGCCAGCTCATTCAAAGAGTTATAGAAATCTGACAGCAGTGAAACTGAAGCTATCATCAACCCAGCTAATGTGGGTTGCATTATACATCAATTTACATACAGCACATGAGCACTCCGTGTGTGTAGGAACTGCATTTTTTACGCTTAGGTGAGCATCAGCCATTGCAATTTCTGAAAGCAAAAATTATGTGAAAAATAATCAAGTCACATCTACTTTCTATCTCAATAAAGTGTTTTCTTTTGTCAGTTACTGAGGAAGCAAAGGCTGTACTATGCACAATAAAAAGGCACTATGAAAACTAGTTAGCTTCCATATGACGGCTTGTTTTTTAAATTGCATGTGGAGGATTAGCAAAATTCTGCAAAACCAAGGATTTCCAGCATTTATTGAGATGATCAATATCCAACAATTGAACCATATGCTGGGTGCTAATGACTTGCTAAGCATAGAACACAGTCCAGCCCTGCTAAATTTTGCTGAAATCTGCAATACAGATTTGAAAGGGAGGAAGAAAAATAAAAACATCCTATCAGTTGCAAGAAAGTATTGGTACTTTCAGAACTAGATCCCAATCCTCCATTTCCTCTGGGCGAAGGACTCAACTGATTTCCAACTTTTCAATGATGATCAGGCCCACATTGATTTTTGAGGTTGTAAGAATGACAGCAAGTATCACATGTGGCTGCAAGAGTACTGTGGTCTCTTATAAAAAAATCCCTGGCAAAGGCATCAGGTTTCCTGATTGGTATGATATCTTCTGTTTTGTTTCTGTTGTTTTTTTTTCCTGATGAGTGGTTCAAATTCCATTCTGAGTAAACCTTAACAAGATGCTCTTTTCTAATGTTTGTCCTATGAATAGCAAGATAATTCAGAAACAGTTTCTTGGCACACCCTTGTGCTGTAAGGAAAAAGGATATGATTCTGTCATAAATTTTAAAGAGGGTATTATCAGCTCATTTAAAACAAATTCTTTTATATATTCTCCAAGGGGAACAACTTATAAATAATGGAAATGTGGAAAAAACCCACCTTCACCACATTAAGGTTCAAATAAAATTGACTGCTACATATTATTCAATTGACTTCCATCTCTACAGCAAGCTGTCAATCATAACAGCATTTTAGAATTGGATTAAACAATAAATGTGCAGACTTATTATGCAGAAATCTGAAAATCTGATTAATTTGTAATATCTTAGTGTGGTCTTAAAAATTCAGAAATGGACATTACTCCAGGAATACTTACAAATGGTCTATTGAAATATCTGATTTGGAGCTAATAAAAACATACAAACTTGCTGACATTTTATAAAGGGAATTCTACAGAAATATGTTTGCCATTTTAATGACCATTGTCATTTAATAATGAGAATAAGCTGACGTACTATAATCAGTGAGGATTCAAAAAAATTGCCTAGTAACATGCAAAAAGAGACGCAGTCACTAAATTTTTTTTCTGCAATTTATTCATTCAAGTTAAATGAAAAGAGAAAAACGTAACTAGATATGCCCAATTCAGTGAAAACTGTTTCTTTCAAATGCATAGCAATTCTAGTGCTGATGCCACCCCTAAGACCAAAAATAGGGTTTCCCCAGTATTATGTCCTCCTATACAAAATAAAGTGCTATGTTCCTAAACATAATTTTTCCTTTGGCAATTTCCACATACTGTTATGGTCTTTCTTTTTTAATCTTCACAGCTGTATTTATAAAGTGACGTTAGATCCAAGGCTCAATACCAATGAAGATATCACTCCCCATTAAGATCAAATCTTATAAGTCAAGTTTTTTTATGTAATTTTAAGGGCTGTGAGTTTTGTCTATGTGTGTGATTTAATCAATATTAAAACAAGCTCCTGATAATCTGTCATATCGTTAAATAATCTAATGAAATCTTGGGGAAAAGAAGAAAACCAAAGCCGTTAGAATTAGATTTTATTGCAATTTTTATACCTTGAGTTCTCAGAAAATATGTAAGAAGTTCTGAAGTAATATGCCTGTCTTACAGTATTCTTTTCTCCATGGTGCCCATCCAAAGAACCACTGATTTCTGTTATCTGTACCGTAATGATTTTTCAATATTTGATCACTAAATCTTTACGTAACACAAGTTGGTTATATTGGACCATCAAGCCAAAATTAATTACACTGCTTTCCTTTTTCATTGTACTAATTGAAATCACATAGGATTACATTCCTGTCACACGACAGATGATTGTTTTGGGTTTTTTTATTTCAGTGCTCAAATGCTCTGCCTGCTGCTCCTAATTCAGTTCCCATAGGATGCAGTCATCTCAAGAAAATAGCACACACTTTCATGTGGTCTTATATGACATCCTATATGAAATTATCAATCCTGTATTCTCTGACTGAAACTCTCAGATCTCTCCTGCCCCTTCTAATCTACCTGCTATAACAGACACTTAAGAGTCAAGAAAATGTACAAGAAAATCTGCCTGCTGGGCTGGCACTAAATACAGGGAAGCAAGCATTTCAGGGTAATGTCTGTTGCATCACACAATGACAGCATTTTTTCCTTGCTGTATGCTGCATTCACTGACACACATAGGTCAACACTGAAGAAGGCAAGGCAGAGCACAAAACATTGCTAGAAGGCTATTTTTCTTTTCTGCCTTATATTTCTGACTGGGGGGATTCCCCTGATTTCAGGGGAGTCAGGGAGCTCTGTCTATTTCTGATTTCTTTACTATTTCTGCTTCAGAGATTCATTGCTATGAATTTGGAAGAATGCCTTCATTTAGAACAACTGCCCTAAACTGGCAGCACACAATCCCCTACACTGTTTCTTGCCAATGTTTTACTGAGTTTATTTGGGAATTGGTTAATTCCACATGCTGGAACGACCTCTGCAAGTAAATTATCCCTTTGTCCAAATTCCAGTCCTCACTAATGAAAATGGACTGTCAAAATCTAGCCTAGATTTTCCACTTGTCTGATCCAGGCCTACTGTTACCTCCTGTTAGGTTAAACTCCAACTCTGCTCAGCCTTCTGTTAGTGAGGGGTCTGCCAGCAAGGAACCAGGACTTATAACAGCCCCTTTGGAGCTGGGGAACTACCAGCAGTAGTTCCTTCTCTGGAACTACCTTCTCTGTTTGCAACTGTGTTTTGCAGAAATTCTACCCTCATTACAACCCTGACTCCTGGTGCAAAAGGGGCAGGGGGAAGGCAGTAGCAGGGATGCTACTCTGAAAAGAGAGCCAATTCTCCTTAACATTGTTTGCCTAGGCAGGGCTCTTATAACGACTGAGTCCTGACAACACAGCCTAAGTCAATGAGCTTGCTCAATTGTACCATATGAACAGACAGGCGTGCCATTGCCGTAGTACTGCCACGACTGTAGACAAGGGTTTAATATTTAATAAGGAGTATTCATCATATGTGATTCATCATAAATTAATTATAAATTATATAATACATACCTCTCATCTCACCAAGGGACTGGAAGGGCATGACACAATAAAAAAAATTGAAGTGCACTGTAAACACTCTAAAATAGCCTTCTTAAAATAAAATATTTTTTAAAATAAAGCTAAGTAAAACAAAGGCAACCTTCTTCTCCCCTTATCAAAATAAGAAAAAAATTCCACAAACCAAGTGAAAAATCAAGTTGCACAATATCTGGTTTAGAAAACAGAAAACAACAAGAGAAACATCAGAAGGAAAAAAAAAATCCACATCTCAAGGCCACCAAGCTTCATACAAAATTACAGCTGTAAATGTGCTGGTTATAAAAGGCTTTCCATTGTTTGCTTCCATTTTGTTTCTTACACATTTTCAGCAATGCAACAGGTAACTCAGTTCTTAGTGTCTCCCTGTGCCCTGAGAAGGTGAGAATGCTCCAATGCCCCACTTTACAATTAATTGGGAAAAGAGACTCCAATATGGACTCTCAAATAAGCACAATTTAGCTGATCTCCTCAGTTCTAGATCCACTGTTCAGGAAGGCATGGGTCAAAACACAAAACTGCTCTGCAACTCCTTGGTTGCTCCAGGGCTACAGCAGTTCTGACAAGGTGAACCTGCACATGCTCCCCAGCATCCTCACTTGGATGCAATACCTGTCCCAGCTGCCCTTGTCTCACCTGGTCTCTGATGCTTGCAAGAAACCTGCAGCTGACTGAGAAATGGTACAGAGCAGCATCACAGCATTGAGTGCATTAAACTGGAACATCCAGCTCTACCCTGGCGCTTCTGCACATGTATGCTTGTGCCTGCTCAAAGGCATGATGCACCCTGGCATCTCTTCTCAAACTCTGCACCAAAGCTCACTCAAAGCCAAAGCTCATACCAAAGCATAGCACTAATCTCAGCAGATGACCTGGATATGAGCAACTTCCTCATGGTCTTCATGAATGAATTCAATATGTCTCACAATTGTATCAAATTCAGGGATATGCTGGACCACCTCTCCTTAGCACTCAATGCTTTGAAAAAGGACCTAGATCAAATTCAATAATACTAGATTTTCAGTGATCAAAAGAATATATAAATCCTTCTGAGATATAAGAAAATATTTCAAATGCATTAACATTAATAAAAGAACACATTTCAAGCAACAGTTGATATTAAATCTTTAGCTAGTTCCACAATGCGACATTAAATTACTTGTATTTATCTCTCAGTAAGCATAACAATAAGAAATCAAAAGCAGACTTTTTTCTTACTCACTGAGACAACTCACATTCATGATACAGTTTTAAGAATTAAATCATTAAAGTAAAAATACTGCCTGTGAGAAAAGTCTTATGTTTTTAAAACTAAAAAAATAATAAACTAAACAATCTGAGCAAAGCATTGCTGC